TAGGGCTGTGCAACACACACCTGTAGGAAGAGATTCAGTTGACTTTAAGGAACGTCTCGGGGCAAGAGAACCAGATTTCTTTGCCTGTATGGTTGGGTTCAACCAGAGGTCTTCAAACTGGGCCCTTTTATGACTTGTGGACTTCAACTCCCAGAATTCCTCAGCCAGCATGCCTGGCTGAGGAATTCTGGGAGTTGAAATCCACAAGTCATAAAAGGGCCAAGTTTGAAGACCCGTGGGTTCAACCATCCGCTAGGCCAGGGGTCCCCAACCTGTGGCCTATTGGGAACTGGGCCACGGAAGAGGTGAGCTGTTGCACACCAGCGCTCACACAGCTCAATTTGCATGAGTGCCAGGCTGGCTCACGTGCACATGCACACACAGTTCAAGTTGTGCAATTCGAGCTGCACGTGCGTGCCAGCCCATCGCTCACATGGCCCAGTTCCCCTCTCAGCCAAGCTACAAAGGACTGCTGCTCTAGGCCAGGGATCCCCAACACCCGGTCAGTGGACCGGTACCGGGCCGCAGCATGCCAGCAACCAGGCCGCACAAACAAGCAAAACCCCATCTGTGAGATGCAGGCAGCACACAAAACCATGCCCCCTCCGGTCCGTGGAAAAACCTCTCTCCATGTAATCGGTCCCTGGTGCCCATAAGGTTGGGGACCTCTGCTCTAGGCTGTCTTTTCCATGCCCGTTTTTTAAGGTTGCAAAAATCTGGGCCGTCATGAGATGGGAGCCAAGCATTAGAGGTTTCTACCTCTCTTTGGTTTTTCATCTAGCAGTTGTTTAGATTTTTTTGCCATGATGAGAGACATTGGCAGTTGCGTCAATAGGAGGATGACTTTCTCTCAGTGCAAACAGACGTCAACCAGGAAGCGAACAGAAATAGCCACTGGAGTCTTGAAAAAGTCAATGCAGGGAGTCTTTGATTGACAACCATTCGTTTAGTGACAGTTGAAATATTTATTCCAACAAGCCAAATTCAGTAGGGGAGTCTGTGGTTAAGTGAATCTGGCTTCCTCCATTAATTTTTACTTGTCAGAATTTGGCTGGGAAGGTTGCAAATGGCAATCACATGACCCCAAAACAGTGCAACTGTCATAAGTACATGCCAGTTGCCAAGCACAGAAATTTTGATCATGTGACTCCAGGGATGCTGCGATGGTCATAAGTATGAGGGCTGGTCATAAGTCACTTTTTCCAGTGCCATTGTAACGATCCCATTTGGAATAATAATAATAATAATAATAATAATAATAATAATAATAATAATAATAATAATAATAATAATAATAGTAGTAGTAGTAGTAGTAGTAGTAGTAGTAGTAGTAGGTAATAATAATAATAATAATAATAATAATAATAATAATAATAAAGTTGGAAGGGACCTTGGAGATCATCTAGTCCAGTGATGGCGAACCTTTTAGAGACCGAGTGCCCAAACTGCAACCCAAAACCCACTTATGCATCATCGGGTGCCGGGTAGGTGTGGCCAATTGGGTGGGATGGCCCATTGGGTGGGCGTGGCCCATAGGGGGGGGCGTAGCTGCGGTGGTAACAGCAGACTGGGTGGGACTAAAAAGTTCAATCAATCAATTCCAACTTTGCAAGATCTTTTTTTTTCCCGTGACGAGTTGAAATTGACTGATTGATTGAACCTTTTTTTTTTTTGTACACGGCGGCGGAGGCCTAAAGCGAAAAGGTTTTATAAAACCCAGCTGAAGGCCTAGGACTGGGGGGACGGCGCCCGTGCCCACAGAGAGGGCTCTGAGTGCCACCTCTGGCACCTGTGCCATAGGTTCGCCACCACTGATCTAGTCCAACCCACTGCTCAGGCAGGAAACCCTATACCATTTCAGACAAATGGATGTCCAGTCTCTTCTTAAAACTTCCAGTGTTGGAGCATTTACAACTTCTGTAGGCAGGTTGTTCCACTGATTAATTGTTCTGTCAGGAAATTTCTCCTTAGTTCTAGATAGCTTCTTTCTTTGGTTAGTTTAGTGACAGCCAGCTTGGTCTAGGGCAGGGGTAGGCAACCTTGGCTCTTTTATGACTCATGGACTTCAACTCCCAGAATTCCTGAGCCAGCCATGCTGAGGAGAAAGGGAGAGGTTTCCGTGCTGAGCCATGCTGGCTCAGGAATTCTGGGAGTTGAAGTCCATGAGTCATAAAAGAGCCAAGGTTGCCTACCCCTGGTTAAGGCACCAGGCTAAGAAAACAGGGGACTGTGAGTTCAAGTCCTGCCATAGCCACAAAAGCCAGCTGGATGACTTTGGGCCAATCACCAGGAGATTGTGAATTCTAGTCCCACCTTAGGCTTGTAAGCGAGCTGGATGACTTTGGGCCTGTCAGTCTAAATTTTGATCACATGACCATGGGGATGCTGTGACAGTTGCCAGTGTGGGAGGACCAGTTGTAAGTTGCTTTTTCAGAGCGGTTATAACTTTGAATAGTCACTAAATGAAAGGTTGTAAGTCAAAGACTACTGGAACTGTTTTACAGTTAAAAACTCTTAAGACTGACATATTAGAAAGCAAAACAGTGATCAAAGAATCTGCGATATTCTCCAGTGTTAGAGAGAAAGGGAAATCCATAGCACAACAAACACAAATCCATAACACAATAAAAACCACATAACACAGACTAATAAGCTGCCTTGGGTGATACTCTGAATGAATAATACAGAGGCTTTATCAGGCATCGGAGAATGTCAGATTTGATAAAAAAAAGCAAGCTCCTGTATAGGGAGTGAGAAACCCCCATATGACTGTCTCTGATCATAACTTAGAGCAGGGGTCTTCAAACGCGGCCCTTTTATGACTGGTGGACTTCAACTCCCAGAATTCCTCAGCCAGGCACACGTGCCTGGCTGAGGAATTCTGGGAGTTGAAGTCCACCAGTCATAAGAGGGCCACATTTGAAGACCCCTGGCCTACAGCCATTTTGGTCTAGTGGTGAAGGCACCAAGCTAGAAACCAGGAGATGGTGAGTTCTAGTTCTGCCTTTGGCAGGAAGCCATCTGGGCAGCCTTAGGCCAGTCAGTCTCCCTCAGCTCAAGGAAGGATGCAAGAGTACATCACTTCTCCATTCTTGCCAAGTAAACTGCAGGGATTTCACCAGGCAGTTGCCAGGAGTCAAGATTGAGTCAAAGCCACATGCATACACACGTGCACACGCGCGCACACACACACACACACACACACTTCAAATGGGAGAGAAAAGTATCAGCTGGATCTAAGAAAATGACTACAGGTAATCCTTGACTTACAGTTGTTTGCTTAGTGGCTACAGTATTTGAAGTTACAACAGTAGCTGCCCAGAGCTACTTATCAACCGGATTTGAAACACACACACACACACACACACACACACACACACACACACACACACACACACACACACTGTCATGCAATTACACTTGAGGCACTTATCAACCAGACTGCATTTATCGTTGTTTGCAGCGTTTCAGTCATGTGACCGTGATTTAGGATGCTTTTGCCCAGAAACCAACATTTTATAGGTAGTCCTCGACTTATCACGATTCATTTAGTGACTGTTCAAAGTTACAATGGCACTGATAAAAGTGACTTCCCTGCCTCCCTTTCCTCCTTGTACTCTTCTTTCTTTCTTTCTTTCTTTCTTTCTTTCTTTCTTCCTTCTCTTCTCTTCTCTTCCCTTTCTTATTCTCCTTCCTTCCCCCTCCCTTCCCTCCCCTTCCTCCCTTTCCTCCTTGTACTCTTCTTTCTTTCTTTCTTTCTTTCTTTCTTTCTTTCTTTCTTTCTTTCTTTCTTTCTTTCTTCCTTCCTTCCTTCCTTCCTTCCTTCCTTCCTTCCTCTTCACTTCCTTTCCCTTCCCTCTTCCTTTCTCTCCTTCCCTCCCCCTCCCTCCCTTTCCTCCTTGTACTCTTTTTCCTTCCTTCCTTCCTTCCTTCCTTCCTTC